AAATTTTAATTAATAATTAATAAAATCTATTATATTTCACATATAATAATTTTAAAAAATAATAACCAAACGCCAAAATATACAATTATAACACGATAGAGTTCAACTACAACCACAGTTTCAAACACAATGTTGGATGGATTTCCAAAAGAAAACAAGTTCAAAGGTGGAGTTGCACATGCTTTTAGTTCAGTGGTGGATTTCAAACAGTTCAGCAAGTTCAGGGGTTGATTTCCAGTTTTTTTTTTTTTTTTGCCTAAATCATATATACTAACTTACCAACAAAAAAGGTTCTGCATCAAGATGTTTTCAATAACAAAAAAGTTTCAAACAAAAATTTACACATGCGTGGAGAAAACAGGGGTGGACAGTTCAGTTGTAAAAAGAACTACTTGCAAACAAACCTGAAGAAGAGGGCACAGGTACGATGGGAGAAGGTGGAGAAGAAGGACGAGGATTAAGTTTATTATTTTGAAAACTGCAAAAATGGGATACAGCAGTTATGAAGCAAAATTCTTGAGACTGTAAAACTATTGGAACAAAAATTGTGAAAAGAAGGTTAGGAACATCAAGAGAAGAGAAAACAATTGAGAGAGAAACCTGCTAAGAGTAAATAGCCAAAAAGAACCATTAATGGGAATGTCTCCTGTAAGGTGATTTGAAAGATCCCTGAATTTCACAGAATATAAAGTCACATGCTACCAAAGTTATGATAGAAAAGCTAAGGTTGAACTCACATTGATTCAGCTAAGGTTTTTGAAATTTTTGAAACAACTCTTACAGTACTTCCAATGACATAACAGTAGTTAAGGACCTGAGAATTTCTCCACTTAAGCTATTGTTGTTGAGACGCCTGCTTCATATGAAAAGTGTCAAATAAACTGCATCATAAAATTGGCCAAAAAAAAAGTAATTGCATTATAAAAGGACTACATACATGCTTGAAGAAAAGCATAATTGCATCTCAGAATTAAAATACAGAAGTCTCAATCTGATGAACAATCATCTTCCTATGGCTCATAATATCATCATCAAAATTCCCTACAATGCACAGAGCTTTGCCTGATCAAAACAAGCATATTTACAATTTATGCAACCTAGAGCTAGTATGGCAGGTTATAGAACATAAATACTAATAGCAATGATCTAAATGACTACTTTTGACACTCAAACCTGCATCATCATACTTGGCAAGCTGGCAGTTTTACCATTGACCAAAAAAAAAATAAAAAAACCCTAAATATCAAACTCTCAAGACACAAACTTCAGTCTCAAAAAGTATATACATATGAGTCTTTTACATTCAAGGATGCAAACTTAAGAATTCTCAAATCAAAACCTATTAGTCTATCATCCACCCTGACCTGCCTTAACAACACATCAAGATTGTAGAGGAAGAAAGAAAAGTTTTATGGATCACACAGAACTTATCAATTAAGGAACGATAAGACTAGAATGTGTCAATTACAATGTAAACCCTAATCTAAAGTATGTTTTCTGAATTATTAAAATAATTGTAAATTTTTCCTTATTAAAATAATTGTAAATTTTTCCAATCAAGATTTTCCTACAAATCAGCCCTCTCACCAAACTTCTCTCTCTTTCCATTGAAATCTAACAATACCGAAAGCTACTTAACTATGTTTTTTGTATCCCAATTACTTTACACAAAAGTATTTAATTAAACACTGTTGTAGTAAAATTATCGATCCACTTCAATAGACTAAAATGCTTACAACAGAAACAAGATAAGATCTGTCATAAAATAGAAGGATTAAGAGCATAAAGAATGTAGGATGTGTACTTACAAGCAACGTAGATTTTTGAGGTACCCAAGTGTAGACGGAATGACTCCATTTAAGCCGTTCAAGTAAAGATCCAAGCTCAGCAGGTTCGTCAAATTTCCAAGCTCCTCTGGGATTTTTCCAGTAATGTTATTACTATAAAGTTCCCTGTCAGAAAATTGACTTGTGGTTATAGTGAAAATTGTGCAGAAATAAACATCAACCAAGTACATCTTCAAACTTCAAAAAATATTATAACATACAGTTTAAAACTGCATAAGAAGCAAAATTCAATTCTTATAAGTAAAGGCGAATTTGGAGAATATGAAATAAAAATAACAATCCATTTTTTCCAGCAATGAAAATCTGCAATTACAACCCATTGAGATTATCTCAAGTGGTTTGGAGTTGTTCAAACCATGAGTTGTTCAAACCATGAGGAGAAAGTTTGAATACCTTCAATACCATTTGGGTGCAAACAAAACAATTCCAATATGAGTCATGGCCACCACCCTTAAACGTGGAGCCATACTTGGTACTAGTGGATGGAGTGGTTTGTAAGTAACTAAGTATTCATGGGATTAGTTAGACCAAATGTCCAAATACCCATGTTATTCAAAAAATAATAATAATAACTGTAATTACATTCCATTTCTAGTTTTTTCTTTTTTCTCTTCTTTTAATAAGTACAAATTTTTGCACTTACAATGGATTACAGACAAATTACATACCATCAGCATTACTAACTTATGATGTTAACAAAATGGCTAAATTTAATAAATAGTCTATTAACTATTGTCTTTTTATTTATTTTGTCTATTAACTATATTTTGTATCTAACTAGTCTATTAACTTTTAAAACTATATCATATTTATCTAGTTCGTTAATGCTCCATCTATAAAACTAACGGAAATTCAAATTGGCACCCATGTAGTCCCAAATTAGCTGCCACATAGGCACCACATGGTTAACCAAATTAATATTATAAAATATGGTAATATAAGAAAAATCTTTTTATATTATCTTTTTATATAATTTCTACATATTATTGAATAGGTAGATGCATTCACTGAGTTTCAAATAAATAAAAAGAACTAATCATTTAATTAACACATAAGATCATATAAAAAAGTAATAAAGAAGATTGCCCCTAAATCATTTTTTTATTATAAAATATAAACTTCTAATCATTAAAATTAAATTTTTAATCAATTAAACTTTAAATCATGGTAAAAAGTGAGTTCTATCTAACTTTTAGTCAAGTCTCTCTTGCTTTTTTAAATAAAGATTTTAATTTTTTTTATGTATTATCAATTTAACTTTTTAACTAATTTAATTAAACTAATAATTTTTTTAATTGAATTAAATTAATAAAATTGAAACCGATTCTTATAAAAAAAATAAAATTTAATTGAATTAAATTAATAAAATTGAAAACCGATTCTTATAAAAAAAATAAAATAAAATTGGAATAATAAAAAAAAAAACTACGACTAGAAAG